CTTTGCCACTCTCTTTAATAATCTAATCTTCTCATCTAGGCATTTTATCGCCAAAATAAATGAATTTAACTTAAATTAACTTTTGGGTTTGATCTTAACAACAATACAAGAATCTTAAAAAAAGACAAGATTTGCAGCTGTGTCTATAGGCGACGCCTATTTAGGTCAGTGAAGATTAGCTAGGGGTCAAACATCAAAACTCACTTTTCTCATGCACTCTGTTCCACCATCCAGATCCTGAGAGTAAACATGTACATATACACTCAGCTATTCCACTATATAAAAGTATGCGTAAGTGCAGTTTTAAGTTTTAACATTGACCTATCGAACTACCTATGCAAGAAGGCATCTGTCCATCTACCGACATTACCATGTGCTATTTGCAAAGAGAATTCAAGACGAAACATTTTATCTTCTAAAGAAAAGGTGTGAAATTAGCGATACCCAATTATTTCGTATATAGGACAAATACGCGAGCTGTTCACTACTTAAGTTCAGGAAAAATTAAAAAAAGTAAAGATGATAGGAGGACAAGAAAAGGAGACAGAGAGCAAAGCACCGTTATTCTAGTATAGCATAAAATCCGACTAGGGTCGAGCAAATGATTGTAAAATTTATATCAGTTAGTTGTTATAAGGAATGGAAAAGGCTGGATTCGGTTTGTCGACTGAAGACTTTATAATGTGTATACTCCCTTGAAGTAACACTTAGCAATAAAATAATTGTTAGTTAACAAATGTATTCCATTTTGCATAAAAGAGCTTAATTATTCTCTCAAAACCACGATTATTGTACTGACTTAACACACTCCAAAGTCAACAGGCTGATGCTGTAAATCATCGTGGATACAATGGCAGTGGACACAGAATTAGATATGTTCTACATGGTTTCCTTGTCGCTTCAACAAAGTTGTAAAAACGAAGTCAAACTAACACTATACAGCTAATTGAAACTGAGAACAAATAAAAGACCACATCATATTGTTCTTTATATCTACAATCCTTCTATTTTTATTTATTATTGAGGATGTCTAACTAAGGAGGCTGTTATTCTACAAAAAAACAAACAAATAATTGGCTTGCTCACCTTATTCACGACCATATGCATGCAGATTTTAGGCACCAGATCACGCTGCGTCTTATGAACAATCTTCATGTATGAGTCCACTAAATTACGAATGACCTCGACCTGACGTTCCAGTTGTGGATCAGCGGTCTCCTCGCTAAAACTTTCGCCCTAAAATGAAATGAATCAAAGTC